GAGCCGCTGCCAGAGACTATCCTAAACGTCAGTGGGATTTTCTGGAAAATTGTGTTCTAGTACAAATAGTTTAAAAAAAAAAAAAATCAGGATGTATTAATTTACAAGTCTGGGGAGAGCAGACTTTTTCCCTTTAAACAGCTTTAGCTTGATTAAACTCATTCTGACGAAAGATACATGTGGAAATACTTTAGAATTTTTAAATAAATTTATAATTACAAAGCAGATAATTAAAAAAAAATACACCTAGTATTTGTAATGAAAAGAATTTGAAGTTATTCAAGAATTGAGAGCAAATGAATAATATTATAATCTATTCTCACTTAGTAGCATACAACTGACCTTAAAATTATCCTTTGATAATTTTTTATTGAGAAAAAAGAAGTACATGTTCATATTAGAAAAGTTAAATGCAGATAAGCAAAAAATGAAGGAGCTGGTGACAGTATCTACTGTTCTGCCATCCAGGGATAACCTCATGATTAGCTTCCTGACCATTCCTCTAGACCTTTTTCTGTCCATATTTACTTTTTTTAAAAGATAAAAATGGGGATCATGTTTTCTAATCGGCTTTTTTCATCCAATATCAGAAACATCTCTGCATGCTGTCTTAGTCATCTGCTGCTGCTATAACAGAAATACCACAAGTGGATAGCTTTAACAAAGGGAAATTTATTTTCTCACAGTCTAGTAGGCTAGAAGTCCAAATTCAGGGCGCCAGCTCCAGGGGAAGGCTTTCTTTCTCTGTCCGCTCTGGAGAAAACGTCCGTCATCAGTCTTCCCCTGGACTAGGAGCTTCTCGGTGCAGGAACTCCGGGTCCAAAGGACGTGCTCTGCTCCCAGCACTGCTTTCCTGGTAGTATGAGGTCCCCCCTCTCTGCTTGTTTCCCTTTCCTTTTATCTCTTGTAAGATAAAAGGTGGTACAGGCCACACTCCAGGGAAGTTCCCTTTACTTGGATCAGGGATGTGACCTTAGTAAGGGTGTTTAAATCCCACGCTAATCGTCTTTAACATAAAATTACAATCACAAAATGGAGGACAACCACACAATACTGGGAATCATGGCCTAACAAAGTTGACATATTTTGGGGGGACACAGTTCAATCCATGACATATGTTAAAAATTATATTCTATAAATAATTTTTAAAAATATTATTGTGTGGCTGCATTCCCAGAGGAATTTAAAAACCTATCTAGAAATTAATTTTTTAAAATAAAGGCAGCAAAAAAAGGTCACACATTTAAAATTTTTAATTTTTTTTAAACTTGTTTTATTTATTTATTTTTTAATTTTTCCCATACAAAAATGTATACATACATTGTTATGTGACTCTAATTATTCTCCCCATACTGTGACAGCACACTCCTCCTTTCCCATTCAACCAGCTCCTAACCCTCTCTGCCTTCCCATCTCACCTCTGGACAGAAGCT